TTCTCAGCCTTAACCCTTTAATGTCCACTGGATGCATAAACAGAGGGTCTCACTCGACTCTTTTCTCCTCTCAGCTATCTTTTCCCATTAAATTAACTTGTAAATGTATATAAATAACTATATTTATTGATGAATTAATATCAAATGATGCATTTCATTCTTTACCTACATATTGGAGATTAAGAGTCTGCAACCATGCTAACAGCTCTGTGAGCACTGCAGCAGCATGCTTACAGTTAATTAGCACTAAACGCGAAGTACAACTGAAGCTGAGATACTTTTTCTGGTATCTGTACCATTTTTCTGACTTTTTACTTGTACTCTGTTCATTTTTACACAAATATCTTTACTTTCTACTCCTTATATTGTTAAAACAGACTTGTTACTTAAAATTTGAGGGGAATTATTAATTATTCTTATAATTTTTTTTGCATAATTGCACTCTGTCCCAACATCAAGGCCGGTGCATATGACGTATGTAATTTAACAAAAAAGAAAAAAAGAAAGAGAGAAAAATTTCCTTCAGACAAACCAAGAGGACTTTTTACTTTTTAAGTGCTTCTGTACTTCTACTTTTACCAAATATGAACAGACCTGACATTGACAGGCACACAGCCAAATAAAGTAATCCTGCTGTAAAAGAATATGTGACTATAAATCTGTTATTATACTGAAAATAAATTAGCTGCAAATGTATAAAACACAGCGAATGTCTGTAATCTACCTTAATGTGGTTGCCAATGGGCAAACTGCTTGAAGACAATCTTCTAAAAACAGTTCCAGTGGACATTAAGGGGTTAATTAATTAGCTGTTCATTCAACCTCTACTTCTATTGATCTAACAGGTAAACACAGTGTCAACATATTCATTTACACATACTGTACAAAGAAAAAGAAAAAGTCAAACAAATAAAGTCGACTACTAGCTCACTAGCTGCTTCATGGTTAACTGATTACTGTTCAACATACAGCTCAAGTCAACGCAAACAATGATATTAGCTACTGTATATAGCTATCAATCAATGCTTCATCCTCATTGGTGGTTTATTAACACTGTGTTCCAGTTTTGTTGTTGGCCTCTTTAGCTATGGCACATCCAACTTCATCCTCTCTTGTTTCTCGTGGTATCTTAGATAGACTTGGTTCTTGGACAGTACATCACTTGGCTGATGGTCAAATGGTCAGTTTTTTGCTCTTTTTCTTGTTATTGTCATAACAAATATCTGAAAACCTCTAAGATCTCCATACCGGATACCTAAAGTTGTCAATCAAACTACCCCTGCAGCTCAGTTAAGAGTCATTACGACTTACCACCGCAGTAATGGCAGCGGCACGAGATGGCAGAACGCACAAACCGATCACCGGATTCGTGTATATAACTAAACTAGGATTACACGGCTAATAAGGAACAGTTTTCAATTAAAAATATGTACTTCCTTAAATAAATGTTGAATTGTAGGCACGATTTAACAGCTAACACAATGGCACAAATATTACCTTAAATTCTATATTATTAATAAGTTTGAATTGGCATTCATGAATGTAAAATGTAGCAGTTATTAGCCTAAAGTCATCTTAATTGGGTCCAATCGGCAAAATACGGTCACAAAAGTGCAAGAGTGTGTTTGTTAGTCTTCAGTTGATGTCAGTGTCACGTATCTCCAGTTCGTCCCTTTAATGTTTGACCGTTACATTTTAATCACACAACTAAACAGTCATTCTTTTCTGTAAAATAACAACAAAACTTACCACTCTTCTTAGACTCTTCTAAGCATCTGGATCAGAAAATATTTGGTCTGCTGAGCAATAAAAATGTTGTTGTTTTTTAACGATAATTGTTTAGAAAACCAGATTCTTGGATGTGTCGAACAGTAAAACATGAGAGAGACAAACTGGAGCTTGTGTCAAGTTCACCAAATCCAAGTCGCAACCAACACCTTTGGCACCAGTAATCTTTCACAACAACTACTCTTCATTCCACCTTTAAAAGCTGATTTTAAACATCACAGTATTGACCTCGGAGGGGGATTAAAGTTACACAAATATGTGCGGTTACACCTGGAAGCATTACAAGGCTCCTCTGGTGCAGTTAGGAGTTCAGTGCTGGTCTGTTAATAAAAACCAGCAGCTATCCAGGCACACGCTCACATGGCACTACAGTTTCTAACGCTGTCTGTCTGCAAGCTTTTCCCAACTTCAGCCTTGTAATGTTACCTAACGTTCACTTCCTGTCCCTCTGTCCGACTGGAAACTATATAAAAAGAGCACAGAGAAGATAGATAGCACCTAAATAGTAGTCGACAACTGCTGCTAATGTTCACCGATGCTAGAGGCATTATAAATGCATCACTGTAGTACAAGACATAACTGTTTCAAACCTGTTGATATGATCGGACTGACATGAGGTGCATTAGTGTAGACATGCTGACTGCTCAAAACTAGCAATTCCAAGACTTTTGAGATAGAAAGAATAAATATATATAGTAACAATTGAACAGTACAATACAAGGCCATGAACATATTGGAAAATAACCCATGCAAGACACATTTATAAAGATGCTGTACACAAAGGTGTGTGATCAATTAAATGCCATGTGTGACAGTTCAAGTAATGGAAAAAAAGGCGCTGACGAAATCAGGAAAACGGTCTTGATAGACTTTCGAGATTAGTCCACTAACTGTTTGTCTTACATTCAACGGAAACGTCTTCATAATGACTGTAATGACTGTAACTTACATTTTTAATTCTTCTCATGAAACACACGGGGAGGAAAAAAAAACGTAAAAAAAGGACTGAAGACCCAAAGAGTCCGTAAAACTTGGAATGAAAAGTCTCTGCAATGATATTGCACTTTTGAAATAAACAAAACACAAGTTGTGATTTTTCTGTTCTGGGCTTTTCTGTCACAAAAAAAAGCCTCGGTACTAAAAGGTCCAATTGGATGGCCGCTTGGTCTATGCGAGAAATGCCATCAGAGATAAGTTAGATTTGTACCAGTGTTGGTTCAATATGCAAAAGCCGTCTGAAATCCCTCTGAAATCACTCAACTGTTCATCAAATGTCCCGTGTTGTTTTTTCCTGCTGTGGAGGCAAAGCCAGGACCAAGGCGATGGCACAGGTTGTTTTGGCAGGACGTCTCCTCTGCTCTCCCTCCTCTTTCTTTTTAATCCTCAAAAGGGTCTTTTTTCCCGCTTTAAAATGAAATAAAGTGCAAGGTGTGTGTTTCCCTTAAAAAGTATTTTCCCTTCGTTTCACACCTTTCCACAGAAAGCGTTTTCTTCCAGGTACAACGTGGATTTAGGAAATATACATTCACTCCAAACACTCCCATTCAGAGCAAGGCTGGAACTAGCAGGACACACACACACACACACACACACGACGCACACAACACACCTCACGACACACACACACACACACTCACGCCTGTTCTGCGCCATCAGCAGAAGCACAGCTGCTGTCTCTCGGGGTCACGTGGCACGAGTCTTTGGCCTGGGCCAACAGACTCAAGTCAGAGGAAGCGTCAGGCAGTGGTGTTGCCGTTAAGAGATGATGTGGCACAGGGGGTGGTGGTTTGTAGCTAGGCTTGGGCCAGGCCAGGCCGGGCCGGGCCGGGCCAGGGCGGTCCGAAAGGGGCTAAGAGAGCGGAGGGTTTGGCTCATCTTTGGTCCCATAAAGCACTTGATTATGTCAGGGTGAATCTTTGCACTCCGCTGGACTGGGAAGGTGGTCGCATGGTAGTAGGGTGGGTGGTTGGGGTAAAAAGGGAAGGGTAGTACTATCAAAAGCACCGGCTGCTAAGCTACGACCGGAGACATGTGCAGCACAGGCAAAGAGTTTCGTTTTTTTTTAAGCCATGCAGTGTTAAGATCGTCCATAGCAACCGGCAGAAAGCGTCTCGGGGAAGTTTGAAATGGTTCTAGTGATGGAAGACGGGAGGCAAGATTTCACACATGAGCGCGCTCACAGGCCAACACAGGAAAGCTCTCAGTAGAGGGAGAGAATAGCTGCTGTTGGCTTTGTAAAAGTCCACAGTAAAGAGTGACAGACAGTGCTGCATGCTCTCCAAAGCACCGGCAAACTGGTGAAGACTTGAGGTGTCTGGGTGAGCGGACCGGGTGGGACGATTATCCACAGATATAAAAGAGTATACATTATGTGTCAGTATATAGGAGATAGAAACTATGACAAAGCTGGGGTGTATTGTGGAGTTTAAGGAACAGAAATGCAGACTGAGGACAGATAAAGATAAGAGATTTTAACACGACCCCCCCCACCTTCCCGCCTCCTCAAGGTGGAGAGACAGACTCGACCTTAAGGCAATGCATAGCCCTTGGAAACATTGGCACATGCATGGAGAGTGCAGAAATGTGTACTGTAAGTGCATGTATGAGTGTGTGTGTGATTGGATATAACAATATACAGAAAGAAAATAGATTTGATAAGCTAATATTGGCCTTTTCTTAAAAACTGTAGCTCAGTTGTTGATGCAGATTCTGGCTACAAAACCAACTTTTTCTGACGCAAAAACACTAAATAATGGACATTTTTGGTAGGAACGTGTTCAAAGATGTTAGATTCGAACCCCAAATATCATCTATGGACACTTTCCATCCTTTATAAACCTGCGTGACAAAGATGAATTTAAAGCTAAAAGAAATAAAGGGGGAAAAATAAGAGAGAACAAGCGGCAGACACAGTGAGCTCCCGCGACGGTTTGAGGACGAACGCTGAACATGAACGATGGGCGCGTTGAGTTTCAATCGTTATAACTGTATAAACGATCGCGTCAGATGTTGTTGAGCGTGGTCGAGGTGATGAGGCGCACAGTGAGCGTGCCCGGAAGGTCGTTGTCCTGGCGGTTGCCCTTGTCGCGGAGGTGAAGCGTGTGCTGCTCCTGCCGCTCGTTGGGGTCGCTGAACAGGATCACCTGACCCAGGAAGGTGTCCACGATCATGTTCTTGTTGTAGATCTGTTGGCCGCTCGTGGGAGGAAAGGTGGAGATCCGAAAAGCGAAGCGGGAGGAGCGGGAAAAGAGAGAAGAGAAAGAAGAAAGGAGGAGGAAAATACACAAAGGGACAGAAGTTAGTGACGCTAAGAAGCACAGAGAGGAAGAATGAAGAGTACGAAGTGCTGATGTGGAAGAGTTGGTAAGTAAAGCAATATAAAATATAATAAACTTTACTTACACAGCACTGTTCAAAGATAATTAACTTATATAACATTTTATATTTGATTTAGAGAATATAGAAAATCTAAAAGCTATACTTTTAGACTGTGAGCTCACTGGAGGTACAGAAGATAAGATTTGCAACAGGATTTATCTACAACGAGCATCCACTACGGATAATGTACTTTTTAAGAGCATCAATCGAGTAAAATGTGTCAATATCCTAACCCGTAAATAAAATAAACCAACTTTTATTTTTAAAAAAACTTGTTCTGTAAGTAGTTATTTTACCCTTGTGATCAAAAAACATTGCTCTGAAACTTAATTCTGTGGTTTTCTAATAGATAAAGCAACTTCTAATCAACCGATATCCATTTCAGGCGTAAATTAACAACTTCTGGTTAACCACCTAGAGTAAAAGCACCAGCCATGTCAGATTTAAGCCCTCGCCCACTGTACAAATACAGATACAGATAATGTTGTACTCGCTCATCCCTACAATCTACAATGACACCAGGATTACATGTTCGCATTAATCCGATCTGTCAGATGGTGACGATATTGACCTTTTTAAGCAGATCTGGTATCAAACAAATGTCACCAATTTAAATTAAATACAGTTTTCAGTTCCTTTCTGTTTATATACAGCAGTAAAGTAACATACTGATGCACATACACTGTATATAATAGGTTATCCTATGTTTATATTGTAATATATTTTATTTTTTATATATTTATATGTATATAGAGAGAGATTTAGCTTATTCTGTGTATTGGGATATTGGGCTTTTGTTATTTGCTGTGTTTATTTATCTGTTGTATGTATATTTCTCTCTTTCTCTCTTCTGGTGTTGATATGTATATTAATAACTGTTCCCGTACAACACCTGGATAAGTTGCTCCTGTAACACCAGATCAATAAAGATCAACTATCCGTCTATACATCTATCTGTCTGCATCTACAATAAACACATGTCAACATGCAGGCAGTGGCCTTCACTGTGAAACCGGATCATTTAGTCATTTTCTGCACTTTTTCAGGAGTTTTGAAACTTTAAATGGACGAAACACGATTTTATTTCATGATGTGAATTTCTTACACTCAGGGAAATACGCTCTTCAACAGACCGGCACAGGTTAAGTGGTTTGGTGAAGAGATGTAGAAGCTTGTAATTACACTGAGGAGTCTTTTCAGTGTGAGGCCACAGAGGACTGTGAGTGCAGCATCGTCTATCACAGCAGCTCAGGCCTGTTTGTAAGGTTCCCAACAGCAGTTAATCCTGCAGGACGAACTGTCTGTGCTACATATAGAACACACCGAGAGCGTGATAGTGTCGCTGTGAGGTTAAAGCATAGCAGTGGCGCAATCTTATAAACCTTCAAAAACCTTCTACTAAAGCCTGCTTGTGCATGAACGTCACTTAAGAGTTAAGATCTGAAGTTACAGCCTCATATTGGCTCACATATATCTTAGAATAGAATAGAATGCCTTTATTGTCACTATGCACATGTACAATGAGATTAAAATTAATCGATTCCACACAGTTTTTTACATTTTGAGGGAGAAGAGGCACTCGGTCGAGAGTTTTGGAGGTATAAAAAGTAAGCATCCGTTCCGCGGGGCTATGCTTGTCTACAGAGCAGCAGATGCACACTCCTGCTTCCTTTCGCCGAGATACAAATGATGCAATTTCACAGGTCTGATTGAGTCAGTGCAACATCACATTACCAACAATAATTCCCTAACAAGTACACTGGCTTACACATATTGCCTGATATTGAGCCTGTAATTGATTGGTTGTGGATGTTCGGAAAATTTCCTTAGCAGCCCCCGCTCTCATGTGATACATCACACACACACACACACACACGCAAGGAGGATGAAGGGAAATTGGATGCAAAAGGCAGGTGAGAAATATGGTGTCAGGGATCAGGAGGTGAGAAAAATAAAAATAAAAAGAGTGATTCAATGCTGGGACAAAGACAGCCTGTAGTTATATAAAGAAAGAACTTTCCCCTGGGACGAACTCAGGAACTGCATTTCGACAACAGGAACTAAAGATTAAATTTAGTTTCAGGTGTAAAAAAAGGTTCAGAAACTTTAAGGGTGTTGCTGAACATCTCTGATTGGCCAACTACAAATTCCGTACCACTTCTTCCACATAATAAGGAAGTACTCGGTAGAGTTGGGTACCGAACTTCTGTACCGAATTGCGTCGATGCTACCGAGTATCGAAAAATCTCCTGTGCTTCGGTACCAAATTTCGATACCAAGACTAACATGGTGTTGTATTTTTTTTTTTTGTTAAGATAAATGTTTTTAAATTGCTATAATCTTTGAGGAACCGGTAGCGAAGTCAAGGTGTCAGCACCGGTATTGAAACTTTTAGAGCAATACACAGCCATAAGTACTGCGATGATCCTACGCTACTTCACAAAATCATCAAACTTTTGTTACTGTTTTGATGTGAGAGACTGTTGTCTTTATCAAACACTTCCCTAAACTCCTGCGGAAGTTCTCGATGAGGAGGTGAAAGGACAGAAATCTTAAAACCTAAACAAAACCCAAACCTATCTGCCTGAATAGACACCGCTAGAGGTAATTCAGAAATGATTAATGTATCTGAAATTTAGGTGAACTGACCCATTATAAGGCAGGAAGGGATTGGTCTTTTAAGTCATAATCGACTTCAACCGAATGTCGGCAAGATAAAGGAGCTTCAGCCTCCATTAAGAAAGCTTTGAAGTTGGATATTCCACGGCTAAACTCTATTACAGTTTATATAATTGACAGTGTTTTTAACCTTTTGGCAACAGTAGCACAATAAAAACATAATGCTGTAATCACTGTCTCAGATGTCCGGTCCCTTTGAGGACATTCACAGGACCTGAACTGCTGCATTGTGGTCGGAGGCGTCATGAACGTGTGGTTCAATCGATCCTCGTGGTTCAGTCCCACAGGGGGGGATGGATGCGGGGAGTGACAGCTCACCTCGATGTGGATTCCCTCCTTGGGTTTCTTGCGGTAGAACAGGCCTTTGATGTCAAAGTTCGGGCACCGCGTGTCCTTATGAACCGGTGAACGAACCCTCTCTCCTTCACAGGTGATGATCACATAGGGATCTACAGCTACAGAAAGACAAAGTCAGATTGTGCTGATAACAGACAGTGAGATTACTGTGCATCTGATCTGTTCACACGTCTATATCAGATTGTACACACTCATTAGGGGAAGAATTTATTCTCCCCTGATATCATTTTCATCATCAACTCGTCTCCAGGTTGTACTTTCAAAAAAGTTCTTGCACACCTCATCACACTCACCCCTCCTGTCCATTATCTGACACCTTACAAACTTCCACATTATTCTGCGTCTTCATTAGCTGTAACCGCAGTAAACAGGCTATAAACCCGTACGACACTGGTGCAGAGTGCAGAGTATTTCACTGATTAATGAGGACCAGGAGAACTCACCTGCACATACACTGTGAAACTCTGTAAACAACAAACACTTCTCCCTACCGACCAGCTGCACAGTGCTGACGGGTTTTTAATGACAGGTCGGTTAATCATTTTGCCAGAGGGGCTTAATTACTGAAGAGCCTTTAACGACACACTGAGACTTCAATGTGTCCTCTGGATAAGTTTGCGAGCGACAACAGCAACAAACTCTTGAAGAAAAACCAAAGACTCCTTTGCACTGTCCATCACTTTATAAATGGGATGTTATTAAGACATCCAAAGTTCTCCCTGAAACATTAACAAAGTGAGTACAAGTGATGGACAATGTGCGGAATTCATTGGTTCTCTTTATTATCAATTAATCTGCCAATTATTTCCTCATCTTGTGATCTTTGAAATGTCTGAAAATAGTTGAAAATGAACAATTTCCCACAAGACGAGACGCCAACTGTCTAAAACCCTGAAGATATTAAATGTATTATAATTTAAAAGAAAGAAAAATTGCAAATCTTTACAGCTGAGAGGCTAGAAACAGGTCATATTTGCCTATGAATTGATCCATTGTTTAAGCTCCATTAAAACAGTATCTATAAGTACACAATTTGTAACAATAACTACAGTTTCTGCCTCTGAAAGAACCTGGAATAATCCTGCACTCTGTCCATCACTTGTTCTCACTTTATGAGCAATGATTCAGTTATTTACTTTAATTGGAGGTGCTCAGTACAGGGTTTTGTTAATTATAAGAAGAGCGCATTGACCTTAATTTGGTGCTGCTGGCGCCCTCTGATTGGAGCTATGTTTCTGTATAAATGGTATTGCTGCTGTTTGTCACCTGATATGTTGTTAATAAAGTACCAGCGATAGACAGAATGCAGTTTTTGTACTTTTCAACCTTATTTTTCAGTCTCTTCACCTCTACTACAGTTCATCACATCAAGTAAACAAACAGCAGTGGAAAGTACATTTACTCAAATACTGTACTGAAGTACACTTTTACTTTTTAGGTACAGTCTGATTTTGTTTCTACTCCACTACATCTCAAAGGCAAATATTCTACTTTTTACTCGACTACATCCATCTGACAGCTGTAGTTACTGGTTATAAAAACACATGATAAGCTTATTAAATGTATTGTTAAAGATTAAACCAGTGGTTCCTCACATTTGTGGCTCTTGTTTTAATTTCATGGCAGTTTTTCTCAAATCTCTAAAAAAAGTTACATGTTTTAAAGCTTTTTTTTTGCAATTAAATTATAGGAGAAAGTAAAAATTGCAACAACAAAAAAACAAAAGACATGATTAATTTATAAAAAAATCAAAGGCAACTTGTTCGAGATAGGTTAAATAAATAAATATATGTGATATGCTTAACCAAAGATAAATTTCTCCTCTAAACATTGCACATGGTTTCACTTAAATTAAGTTAAGAGGTAAAATTGTTCATTGTTTGTTAATTCACAATTTTTTCTTCTTTTCTCTCCTGTTAATCTTCTGCCACAGATTTATCTTGTGGCCCTTTGGAGGGGCCTGAGCCTAAGGTTGGGAACCACTGGACTAAACTTCTGAACTGTATGTGAAGTAGTTTAAACTTGCTCCACCTCACAACAGTAAAACGCTGATGCAACAGTATTAATAGTTAATGTTTTCATTAATGAGAATATATTACTCTCTGTACTCTTAAAGTAAATTTTTTACTTCAACTTAAGTAAGGTTTTTTAATTGTTTCATTTGTACTTTTACTTCAGTATCAGAGTAGTTCTTCCACCACTGCTGCTCTCTCAGCAAAGGAATCTCAGTATTAAAGCCACTATCAGGGAGGAAATTAACATTTCTGACTTCGGCGCCACCCGGTGGACAATGTGGCAGTCACCGCAGCATCCTGGGGTCGGATACTGCACCGATTTTTACCAGGATTGTCTTATTTTTAAGTCATGACATCTGAATTATTCACTTTAATCACTATACAGAATCTATACATAGTGGCTTTAACGGTGAGTGAGTTGTAAAAGTTACAGGTTTGTGCACACGATGTAAGAGCTTTACGGGGGTTTGAGACTATACACTGCAGGCTACAACTACATAAAGAAGTACAGTTTCAGCAGATGGTGCTGTGGTACCTCGTGCTTTGCTCTGATGTCTTTCCTTATTGGGATTGAGGCAGTGAAGCTCTGTGGGTGTTCACAGGAGTTCACAGTGCTTTAAATACAGGAACATGTAAAATACACAAAGTCAAGACTGGATACAGCTCTTCTGCACACGAGGTAGTGGTCCTACCTCCATTGGAGTCTTGTCCCTGCAGACCCTCAGCATTCAGTACATGGACCTGAGTGACCAGCTGAGGGTAGCCACACATCCCCGTCCAACATGTCTGAGGAGGCTCATCCAGAGTCAGCTCTCTGGGAAACAAAGAGTGTACTTTTTACATTAGTACCTTCCAACCACTGCTTCTTTAAAAGTGTACAAGAGGACCTTATTAGTATGCAGTGACACCGACTTAACTACAGAACATAATTCCTCGTCCTGAGAGCTGAAATGAGAGCAAAAACTTTGTGAAACACTCCTCTGGGAAATGAAGTCAAGCAGGAGTAACTGTGCATACAGCAAAACAGCTGCCTTAAAACAGTCAGTCAGGTGGCTGTAGAGTACGGACACTGAAACAGGTTCTTGTTCATGCTGGCTTTAAGCAGGGGGTCCACTCTTTTCAATTTCCAGGACCTTTCCAGTACTTTTTCCAAAAGTTTTCTTGACAATACAGGACGGCACTTGCTCACGAATGGTCACAAAAGTTACCAGTAGGTCAATTATTGACACATTCACAGTTTTATTTCTCCTTTTTTAATGATGAGGTCATTTTAACCATCCAGGGGTTTCCAGGACTGGAAAAAACAAGTCTCCAAATATCCACATTTTCAAGGTTTTCATTTTTTTTATGAGGCTTCATTAGTCTGAGTTTCCTTCCCCTCAGTCTGTTGGGATTGTGTATATTTTGGATTTACACCTTATTGATATTTTATATCTCCAGTGTTTCCTACGTTGTGATGCAACTGCTGCACAGCTAATTCCCTCTGGATAAATAAAGTTTTATCTGATCTTATCTTTTGTGTAACATGAGAGACCTTGAGAAACGTGAGTTTTTTACTGTATATGAGTCCACTTGACACAAGTTGTTTTATTGACTCACATGCAGCCGCTCTTAGTAATAAATGCTGTGAAAATTTGCCCTGAGAGACAAGCAGACATACATTGTACAGACATAAATAAATACTCTCTGTGAACATGTTGAACATTTGTTGAAAGGAAACCTGCAAGTCTCTCTATTGGACTTAATGCATTTTATGGTTCTAAATTGGTTGTAAAACATTGACTAATACACTCAGCGAGCAACATAACTACCAATCTTGTGTCGGAAATTGTGTCATCAACATTTGTATATAATGTGTGATTGTGTCCCTCCTGTGTGGCTCCTGAGTTTTCTTCTATTTTCCTGTTTTTCTCTCCTTGAATCGAGACTGTTGAGTTTTATACAGATTGTCACTGAAGGCCACTGAGGAAATTTATGATTTTAGTCTGTATAAATAAAATATAACCTGACTTGACAGGGCTGCCTCGAATCAACAAAAACAAACATCTGCACTCCGTTCAGGAGCTGCGCCTTGTCACCGAGACTAAACTATTTGTTTGGATTGTTGCAACACGGACCTTTTCTCTCATAACACAGGGAGTCACTGTTGCATATAACTGTACTAGCTAGTGAGCGGTCCTATTAACTGTCTGTATCTGGACTTAGGAGCTCAAAGGAGTTACGATAGGAGAACGATATATACGTGTAACGTTATACATCATCCATCATATCTGTAAGTCCACGGATATTCGTTTTTCTGTGTTTTGAACGATAAGACGTGTCTGATGTTACACTTTCAGTCTCCTTTCTGGTTGTTCTGACACATTCACATTGCTGCTTCTTCTGTTAGCATTTAACAGGCGGCTCTTAAAATACATATATTTAAATAATCAAATTAATATCATAAACATGTGACGATTAGACGACTATTGGCTTTAACTAACGAAGTCGGGGACAGCCCGAACTACACTCGACCAGTCAACCAGCTTTGAACCAGCTTTTACGACTGACCAGTACATACTTGTTATTCTGTTCCTGCTCAGACAATAAAATAACATCAAGAAGTTACAAACTTACACAGTTATATATATAGAGAGAGAGCGTGCACACTGCAGCTAGACCTACAGTATGTGACAGTATGCAGCCTAAATAACTCTGCAGCTGAAGACTCAAATTTACATAAATCTGCTTTCCAGGAGGTTCAAACTGTTACTCTTTGTGTTCAGTGGTAAGATATCAGATTTACTTGCAGTCTGAAGGCACATCAGTGAAGACACGGAGCAGGAAGTCGCCCTGCTGCCCAGGGTCAAAGGTTGTGGGAATGATGACATAACGGCCCTCCTTTAGCTCCTTCCTGAGGAAGACGCAGCGCGAGTTGATGTAGATGGAGCCCGCTACTTTCTGCTGGGCTGAGTGCATACGATACTTCCGATTTAGCTCCACCTGCAGGATGAGAAGACATTATAGCAGAAGTTTGTCCAGCTGAGGTATTTGTTAGTTTATGAACTGTTAAAGCTCTGTGGAGGCTTCTTATTTGTGAATGTGTGTGTTTCTACCCGGTGAATATCAAAGCCTATGGCGAGGTTTTCCCCTTTGCCCTCTTTGGGTGTGGCTCTCTTCTCTTTTTGCTGCAGGCAGATCAGCACCTCATCCTCCAACTTCTTCACATCAAACACATACTGGGGAGAGAGAGGAGGAGACACCGTGTCAACACTGGTCACACTGGCTCTCTATAAACACACGAGTACACAAACAATACCTCGACCAACCTGAGGGTTCTGCAGGAAGGTGGCCTTGTGATTGATGCAGCCTCCGGACCGGTTGCGAAGGGGGTCCTGGCGGTGGACCCAGGAGCCCCTCATCACCTCCTCCTCCCAGGTTTTGTGGATGCTCAGGTAGGAGGTGTTGATGAGACGGCACATGATCAGGTCAGTGAAGTACTGGCAGAAGTCGTCGAACGTCATCCTGCAGGAGGGCAGGAAAAGGAGAGGAGAGAAGAGACCGGAGAGAGTGGATACCAACTAGAGGGAAAAGCTTGAAAGAAGAAGACCTTGAACAGGTACAAAAATAGAGGAAATGAGATCAGGAACAAAGAAAAGGGTTACACGTTAACGGGAGACTAAGATTTCTGGTGCTGACATGGAATCAGATTACATTTTGACCAATGTGAGCTTTTAAAAAATATCATAACTTCACCATTTGACTGTTTTAACGCCCCAAAATCTACAAACATTCAGTGTTTTTTATTCATGTTAGTGTAGAAAAGCCTTTTTTAAAGCAATAGTTAGACCTTTTGGGAAATACATTTATTCCCTTTCTTCCTATTAGATCAGAAGATCAATACCACTCTTATGTCTGGAGACTGGAGGCAGGGGGAAGAGCTAGCCTGGCTCTGCCCAGAGGTAACAAAATCCAACCTCCCACAACGCCTAAAGTTCATTAATTCACAGGTAGAAAAGGAAGTCACTGCACATGCCAAAACTGTCTTTATATGGATTAAACAAACATAGATTTAATGTGTTAATTGGATTGGATTTTCTTACTTTTAGACAGAGTTGGGCTAGCTGTTTCCCCCTGTTTACAGTCTTTGTGCTAAGCTAAGCTAACTGGCTGTTAAAGTAGCCCACAGAACGAGCACCAGCTCTCCGGCCACTTTAAAACAACTTATTCAGGCAGACTTTTAGTTATTGTACTATGCTTTTAATTTCTAGTTTTATATTTATTTTGTATTTATTTATCTCTTAAATCTATTTTATTATCTATCTTTGAGTTGTAAGTGTGTATATGTTCTACCTAATGTGTCTGTTTGAATGCCACACTGTTTATTGATTAGCCCTGAATGTCAAAGTCAGTTCAGTTGCGAGGCTCAATACAGTATGAATCAATTAGTCAATATTTTTTTTTACCATGCCAGCACCACCAAAATAAAGGGAATAACAACATTATTAGAACTTAAATGGTTCTCACCAGAACTCGCCGTCGTCCTGCACGGTGACGCCAAGCTTTTCTCTCTCGCTCTTGCTCACCTTGTTCCACTCCTCCGAACTGCAGCGAGCAAAGACAGAAGAACAGCATCAATCTGAGAAACTACGAGACAAAGAGTTATTGTATGTTCACTGTCTGATTTAAACTCTATAAAAGCTCCTGTCACCTGCCAACTTTAGGCTGTATTTTATTCAGGAAAAGTCTTAATTTAAAGCAACTTTATGCAAAGTTTTCTACCTTAAAATAACAGATTCACTCTGATTTGTATGCTACACTGAGTTATAATAGGGAGAACACCGGAGCTTTGGGCTGCGGGAGGAGGACGTTTTTTAGGCCCGGGACAGGGGGGGAGGAATGGTTGCATCAGAACCGGAGTGGAGCAAGTGGTCAGTGTAACCAGGCTCAGCAGTTTCTATGGACATACAAGCTAATGGCAGAGGCGAATAGATCTAAGAGGACGTTGATGGAGGAAGCTAAGAAGAGGAAAAGAGAGAGAAGCCGCTGGAGCTTTGTGAAATTAAAGGCTGCAGACAGACAATGAGCTGGACCTTCTTGCTGTTGGAGTAGTCAGTAACATTAGCTGGCTTCTTCTGTCTTGTGTTGTTGCACTTAGTTGATGTTTGGCTGAAAATATCGAAAAACGTTCTTTTGTGATACCGTATCGATTCTGCTAGAGAGTGCTGTAAACTGAGGGATATGATGTTGGATGTTACAGGGACTGTTATAAATACAAAAGCAGCAGCCACTGTTCTGGTTGCCTACGATGAGTTTTCCTAAAATGTGATTTAAAATATATGACTGTGCTTACAGTATCGCAATATATTGAATCGTAACCCCTGTATCGTGATACGTATCGTAATTATTGTCGATACACAGCCATAGTTAGAAAAGTTGTCAACTCGCTAGTTATTAGTTACAGTCGCTAGTAATGTGATCATAACATATTTACAACAGTGGTATTGCAAGTGGGGACACCACATCGCAACAAATAACAAATCTTACATATTGTTGCTTTAATACGATGCCTTTTTATTAACATCAGTTAGAAGATCGGCTATTTCTGTATACTTATTGTTAAAGCCTGCCACCGGGTCGGATTCAGTAAGATTCCCCTTGAAATCAATGAAATGAAGCGGTAGAAACACTACTGCTTTTGTCCACAGGGGCCGCCAGAACCAACACAGAATGTCAGTTCCTCGTTGGGGCTTTACTAGTGGCACATTTAGCTGTGAATCTTTAAATAATCATAGTAAGTGTGAATTTAAATTCTCAGTAACTGTATTAGGTTGAGATGAATAAATGATGCATGTGTCTATGCCTCACGGGGCTCTATGAAACTCGTGTAGTTGCGAGTGTGAATCATAACCTAAACATCAAGGTCCGTTCTGTATTCACAGGCTCAGGGGGAAACACGGGGCATTTACTGGATGCATTAGCTCTGTGTTTATGTCTTACTATTTATGATTCACTGACAAACGTCCACATCTTAACAGTCTGTCAGACTCCATTTACAGTAACAGGTTTTTATCAAACCATGAATAAATTATTCAGTGAAAGCGAGTGAATGATTGAGAAAGAGGAGAGATGACTCACGTCTCTTTAATAACATCTTTCTCTCTTTCAGGCCTTATCAATAATTCAGATTCCATTATGATCCTGCTTTACCACCTCCCTGTTTGTTTCACAGAGTCTGGTAGCTAACAATCCAAAAGGCAGAGAGAGGTCAAGGGAGCAACTTTATCTCAGCGCTACCCAGTCCCCTAAGAAATGTCGGGAGGAGTAAAACAGAGAGTAAAAAATGAAATGAAACACTCTTTTCTAGGGAGAAATAACAGCCTTGTCCATCTGATTGAATTCCCACTTGTGCAAACCAATCATTTTCATTCACCTTGAGGTTTGAATTGAGGGGTTAGTCAGCTCAATTTGGGAGTGTCTGTTTTGGGAGGGTCCCGGGGAAAATGAGACCTGATCCTTTACTGCACCGTGTGATATTGCTCTCTAGAAACAAGCTCTTAACGGAGGCTGAATTCAGCCATTCATCTTTGCTCTGTGGCCCATTAGCTTGATTGCTTATCCATTTTTCATTGTCTACACGACATTTCGCATTGTGCAGCTTTCTTGTCTACGTTGTGGGCATTACATAAGGGTCACTCTCTGTCCAGTGGTTGGTTGTTTGCTCATTCATCACATGCAGTCTCTCTAGAAATTTTGCGAGACGAAAGGGACCAGTTGACTTTGTCGTTTTAAAATTAAATTAGTGAAATTGGTTAGATTGTTACAGGTCACAACAAGGTCACGTACGGAAGGACAAAGGACATTGTTGGTGTTGCTCTGGAAATGTTCCACGTCTGACTCACCAAGATCACCGTGCTAAATTGGGACAGATGGATGAAAGAAGGCTCAATGAGACAAGATAGGATTTGATGAGTGGCAGTACTTCATCGCAGCCTGTAGGCGGCAGCGTTGTGGTTACCTGTCGCTCCAGGGGCCGCTCCACTCCTTCTCTCCCCAGGGGTTCCTCATGCGGATCATTTGCAGCTTTTCCGATTTGAAAAAGGCCAGCAGTCCGTGACCTAGCCGCACTTTCCGTACGTCCGTCACAGCGTAGGCGTGACCTTTGACCAGACCACAGTCCAGCCGTGCCTCCATGTCCTCTATTGTGGTTGCCTGGAAAACAGCAAAAACAGGAAAGTTTAGTGGCTGAAAACAAATGCGTGTGTGGATGTCTAGAAATCTGTAAAAGAGGAAGGCTGTTACAGTAGGTTTTAACGTTATAGACGCGACTACATCAGTACGCAGACCCCTGGATCGATCCAAATGTACCATGAACCGGTCAGGACTATAGTCCGATTGTGAAGTGTGGCTTGCGAAATCTAATCAAATCTAAAGTACAGAAGACATTTGGATTCTATAAGAAGGAAGGAAAGTTGAACAAAGGTCTTGCCATTTGTAATATCTGTCGAACAGCAATTAAGTACAGCGGTAGAAAATCGTAGAAAAACACTCACCTGGTGAGATGGCATAGTGACACCTATGTAATAAGTAAGCAGAGTATAGCTCCTAGTTGACCTCAAACAAACATAACAGAAAGGAAAATATATGAAGCATAGCCATAACTGAAGACAATGCACACAAACACACATACAGAGGCACATCATGTGTCATCCTGTGACAGATATATGAAAGATAAGTAACAGTATACTTACCCACTCTACCAAATGACCTCTGTCACATTGTTGTCTGAAATCAATAAATTGTTTCCAATTCACATAACAGAATAATAATAGAATAATCTTGACGGAAATAACTACACATGCAAATGGTTTCTCTTGTTGTGCCCTCAGCCGTCTTGCCTGATTTTTGTATTCCTTTTTAGCTTTGCAATAATAATGAGTCTGACTTGCAAAACAACAACAGAGTACACGTGTTTGTTCCCTTGCTTGCAGATAATGCACTCAAGTATGGAGCGCCAGCTGTTGCCTGCAGTACAGTATGCTAATTACCAGAGTTTTGAGAGAATAGATATGCATAAGAGCATACAGTATTGCCTCAGCCTGTAAAATGTAGTGTGAAGTGTGGAGCGTGTACAAAATGCGCATTTAGGTATTGTTTAAAGCCATGCTGAAATTAAAATGTGTATTTTTCGCTACAACTGCTTGAATCTGAAAAAGTCTGTCTCTCTGGGTCCATGAGCAGTATAGCATGTTTTCATGCCATATTTTACACTTTATTTGAACATCTTGTTCATTTCAATGTTAGTAAATAGTGAATTAAGATCACTGGCATGCAGATGACACCATCTGATGGTATGACATAAAACTGTGCAAATTGTAAAAGAAAAGATACACCCACCTACAGTATGTCAGCTAGTTAACAAGTCTGCTGCACCAGTTTAATTGCTTAAAGACCAACAAATGTTCAAATCTGTGCTGTGGGCTGTGCTTAGATGCTTAGAAGTGTTGTAACCACCGCATACAATACCATAACTCCACTTATCTAATACCACTGCTTTACAATCTTCACTACGTCTATGGCTGCCGTTAGAACAGAACAAGTTAGTCACGCTGCATGCTCCCTTGTGGCTCACCTCAAAAATGTAACATTAAATATTAATAAGACTCTAGGGTCTGTATCATAACATGAACACTTAAAATATTATCCAATCTAATACAACTATGTCACAAACGATGGCATCAAAAGTAACCAACGTTGAATCAACACTTCTCTGACACAGAAACTTAACATAACTGAATACTGCATATATTACATTTCCATTTCCCTGATAGGGTTTTTAGTTATATCAACTCTGAATTGCCATCTTTGCATCTTAAGTTACAATGTTTATATTTCGTTCCTTTTGATTCTTTAAATCTGCTGTAGTTTCAGTTCTGCACTGAAGTATAGGAGATCAAATCAAACATGCTCTTTATCCTCTAATTTAACTAAATAAATTGGATAATATAGTTTAAGTTAACACATTATGTACTAAATGTTATTGGGCTATCTCTTAAAAGTATGTCTTAATTCACAAACAGTTGTTTCATTATACATGCAGTGCTTATGCTAATGATGCTAACATTGTAGTGCCCTTTACCACTGTATGTCAGCATGAATGTGTGTATATAAATGCATCAGTTTTGTCTAAAATAAAACATTAATGGATTTCCTAATCATGTTTTGTTTGGGCCCTGATCGGGATCCCAGTCCTTTAATACTGAATATCTGCCAATACTGTCTGATCAGATACCGTACTTAATATTTACCTAAATGTTGACTAAAGATGTATCTGATACGTTACAATAACACATGGAGCCTTTTCAGTTTGGTACACCTTATTTTTCACAAGCTAGTGAAGTCAAAGTTATACAGCCTATACAGCTATCTATACTATCTATACAGCCCAAAATCACAATTTGCACCAGCAGGCTTTACAATCTGCCCACCCACTGTCTTTTGACCCTCAGTTTGGGTAAAGAGTATATTATCTTATTGCTGATATAGTCGGTGTACATGGCAGCTGATATATATATATATATA